GATGGGGCCGGATGGGTTCGTCAGCCACCACCGTACCGCTAGGAGCGCCAGCCCGAGCCGCGACAGTGAATCGTGGAGGACAACCACTAAGAGCGGCAAGGGTTGCAGACTTGGTATCAGGAACGAGAGAGGAGTGGGGTAGAAAAGATGCTCCTCGTTCATGCAGTATGTGAATGTAGCAGATCTGTGCACAAAACGACGTGACGACCACCCCCGTGCTCCATGATCCGTGAACAAGCTGCATCCGACGGCACAGAAGGCGTTTGTTGGGAAGTCCTAGAAAACTAACGTTCGTCAAGATATAATTTCCCATTTTAAGCCCCACTTGACATACAGCTTGTTCATGAGGCCTAACATCTCATTAGGACCTAATACATTGTTAACCGCAGTTTGATTGGTCGTCCCTCCATTATTTATGCATGATAATTTAGGTTAGCTAAGCTGGCCAATGGATCAGCGTGTGGATGGACTCCTGCTTTGTGGTCGCACCTCATGGACCGTTGACGCATGCATGCCTATTGTCTTCCATTATTGTATGATGATAATCCCGCCCACCGTGATTTCGATCTGGAGGCAAAGAACGGATAGCTCGGACTCCAAAGTTGATAGAGATGGATTGATTATGCGCTAGATGGAGCAAGATCAAGTCATAGGTTCGTGGTACCCGGCAGCCTTTTTGGACGGACGGCGATCCTGCTGCTCTGTTTTCTTCCTCCCTTTCGTGGGAGGCCGACGCGAGAGCGACTGAGCGAGTGTCGTGGACGAAGGACACGCACACACGCGGCGATACTCCTTTTCCGGCCGGCCGGCGACACTTATCGTCTACGGGATACGCATGCAAAAAAAGCTTCCCTATTGTGCTCACGGAGGTTACTGTCGCCAAAATTTCCACGGCAGCGTTTGTTCATAAATAGTGAACGTGATGGAAGGGTCGGTCTGGTTGCCGGAGGATAGGCGCCCGTGTTGATGGATATGCGCTGATCATTCAGTACGTCAGTTGAAAGGGATGGTTTGGACACCAAGATGTCGCCGCGCATCGCATCGCATGCATTATTCGCTTGACTCGTCACGGACACGGGCCAAAGCGGGACGCGCATATACGTTTTATTATATATATATTTAGCTTAAGAAGAAAAGGATCGATCCGTCTATCTGTCTGTGTGGAGAGCCCGTGCTGCAGGATCAATATCGCTAGCTAGTTGCTTGAGCCACTTACTTACCCCAGGCAGTGACCCCTCAAAAAGAAAAACTTACCGTACGCAGTGTAAGTTTTAGCTTGTCTTGCGCAGCCGCTCGCCAATGGCCAAGGGGAAGCAGCTAGAAGCATTCCATTCCATGACGTAGCACCGTATCATCAAGTATGTTCGAAAACAGTCGCAGTCCTGCCTTTCGCCATCTCCTCCGTCGCTGTACGGCTGTAGTAGCAACGATGATCAGGCAAGGCCGGGCACTATTTGGCAAAAGCTAGCTGCACTACGCTCCCGGTAATGCTACACGTAAAAACGATTTACAGGCTTTTACAGGATGGTTAACCTTGATTGGTCAATAGATGAGCGGGGCGGCCCACCCCCTTGAAAATCAGGGGAGGAGAGGTTTGTGATTGGTTGTTAGATGAAAGGAGCGTGTAAAAGCGTGTAAGTCTTTGTATGTCTAGCATTTTTGCTACGCTCCAGTGCCCGCAGCCGATTGACGCCCGGCCCGACGTGTACGCACTCTAGTAACTGCACGGCTCTTCTCCGCACCAATCGCAATGTCATACCTGCTTCATTTAAAAGAAAAACAGAAACTCCAATTGATATATACTTGTTCGTTCACGAGCCCTGACATCTGATTACGACCTAATGCATTGTTAACCACGGGTTGTAATAACAAATACTCCATATTCCATCCCCACTGCCATAACAACACGTCATCCATGATCCATGAGCACATCTTAATTCGTTCCTGCTTGCTCGTACTACTACGCACCAGCAGGGGCCGGCAAATCCGCAGGGCGATTGGTCGACCCACCATTGTTAACAGCAAATGCAGCCATCGGTGCCTGCGCGAGCATAGTTTTATCCATGTCGCGACGGTCGACGGAAGAACCTCATGAGCATAGCGGCACGACGTTGTCCTGCTACTACTGCACCTTTCTGACCGAGATAGTCGCGATGATCGAGCTTCATCTCTTCAACTGTGGAAAAGGGTCGCGAGCTTTTGGACTGATTTTCTTCGGTGGCGTGGCCTCGTGGCGACCGGAGTTTGAAAAGCAGCGGGCTCGAAGGAGGAAGCCGCTCTACACGGTACAAAGTCTGTCTGGTTCCTCAATAGAAAGCCGCGCCCGTGCGGCCGTGCCCGTGGTGACCAGACCAAACCGTTAGCCGTACAAAGGCTCGTGCTGTGGCGTTCCTTCCTCTTGCTAAATTCCGGGCCGTACGTGATTGACAGCTGACCGGATGGCGCAGAACTGGACCGACCGTCTGCGGTCGCCGTAGCAGCAATGATGATGATGGTGATGAGGCTCGGGTGTGTTGGGATCAAGTCGAATCCCACGACACAATTGGCAAAAAGCCAGCGACAGCACTGCGCTACACTCCAATGCCAGATCGGTCCATGGATCTGCTTGCTTGCTCCCAAGTCAGTCGTTCAGTCAATGGCCGCTAGCAGTTGCTCACCCCCGCCCGGCACGTGCCCGTTCATACCGTCGACGAAAGAGACGACTCGCCAAGGTCCTCCGGCCGCGGGCCACCGCGCGCGCCCACTGGCCCCGTCGCGCATCATGGATTGGATCCTTCCCGGCTCCCCCACCTCCACGCGCACGCTCTGTACGATACAGTACAGTATACTACTCCCCCCACCCGCCCACTCGTCCAAACAAGTCTCACCCTCTCTGTCTTGGGTGCATGGAGCAAGCCCCTACGTGGTGTCACCGACCCTTTCATCGCCGAAGTGCTTGCTTTCCGCCAAGGAGTCATTTTCGCCCAACTAAGGGGCTTCTCGCATGTGATAATGGAGGTTGACTGTTTGGAGATGGTGAACCTCTGGCATTCGCGTCACAATACCAAGATCTATTGTTATGCCTATCTTCGATGAAATCAGAGAGAGAGAGCTATAAATTTTGCCTCTTTTTCGGTTCAACATATTAGTAGGGATGCCAACGGCACGGCCGACTTGTGTGCCAAACATGCTACTAGTTTAGCGGTATCCGAGTGTTGGATGGACGTTTGCCCATCTTTCATTGTTAGCAGCCTAAGGGCTGATTGTAACCAAATTTCATCCATGCAATAAACTCCTGTGTTTCACGTAAAGAAAAAACAATGCCGGACCGGGACGCACCGAGCCACAAATAAAAAGGGCGGAAGATTGTTTTTTGTTTCAAGATTTTTTTTGATCTTTTCATCTTCAATTATGGCAGTACAACGACACACCAAAAATAATAAAATTACATCCAGATCCGTAGGTCATCTAGCGACGACTGCAAGCACTGAAACGAGCCGAAGGCGTGCCGCTGTCATCGCCCCTCCCTCGTCGGAGTCGGGCACAACTTGTTGTAGTAGACAGTCAGAAAGTCGTCGTGTTAAGGCCCGATAGGACCAGCGCACTAGAATAGCAACCGCCGCCGATGAAGAATAACATAGATCGAAATGATCCAACCCGAAGACACACAAACATAAACAAACAACAACCAGATCCGAGCAAATCCATCAAGGATAGATTCGCGAGAGACACAGCTCCACACACCCACCAGCGATGATAGACGCACCACCGGAACAGGGGCTAGGCGGGAAGACCTTTATTTCATCTGCAGAGAGCCGCCGCCGTCTGCCTTCCTGAGCAGGACACAAACCCTAAAAAATCTTAAAGGAATGACTAACGGCAGAGCCCTCCCGCCGGTCCTTGCCAGGATCCACCACACCCCCATAGCCCTAAGGCCACTGGAGACGAGGCGGACCTGCGGCGGAGCCGACATGAGGCACAAACCCTAGTTTGTTTTTTCACGCTGGAATTCATCTCCGGAACTTCAAGACAAAGCCCTCAATAAGGAGGTGGCGATGACACAGCCAACAAAAATCAGATTGAGGTTTTTTGCCTGGGACACAAGGGCGGAAGAGGATTTGTAGCACAATGGGTGCTCCGCCCCTCTATATGTACATTTAGTTTAGAAAAAGTGTGGCTAAGTCTCAGTCGACTGAGATTTAGCTAAATCTCAGTCAAGTGACATAACATGCAAGAGAGAAAAACAACTAATTTTTTTATATAGATCTTAATATAAGATCTCACAAATATAACATCCACCAAGACTTAACGAAGTCTCAGTCGATTAAGACTTAGCAAGATTGGTCAGGAAAATGTATCAGTGACAAAAAGACGAAATAAAACCTTGTGTATAAAAATAACGGTTTAGATGGATTGTAGGTTGGACTGTATTTTGTTCGTCAAGGATATATTTTTTGGTATTTTTCACGAAACTTCACACAGAAATAGATTGGACATCAGGATTTGATATTCAAGAATCTTTTATTTTTATTTTTTTAAATTTGAAACTCGTATAGTGGGGTGGAGCGCCCGGTTGCCCCTGTTTATTTCCCCCCAAATCGACCCTTATGATTACGTACTCCTTGCCGCCGTGCGGTTATCCAACGGTGTTTGTTTTTTTCGGCGTAATCCACCGGTGTTTGATACCACACGGTCCGCCCGACGCGTGCTTCGTCGCGGCTTCCTTGGCCCCGACGTAAACGCAAACGCCGGGCCTTGCTCTCGCCACGCCACGCCGGGTCGCGCTCCGGTGCCGCCCCTGGCTTCCCGACTATAAAACCAGTGGCCGGCCACTGCCTCTGCCACCATTTGTACATTGCCAGTAGCCACAGAATCCATCGCCAGATACACAGTACACGACGCACGCCGGCCGGCCGTTCCATTTCGCTCCGCCCTCCCGCCTTGTCCCGTTGCTGAGTTCCCGTCGCCTCGCCCGGAGCAGTTCGCCGCCGTTCAAGGATCCTCCCCGGTCGCTCGCCGCCATGAAGGTGTGTATGTGGTTGCTTGCAGTCTATCGATCGAGCTGAGGGGTTAATTTGGTTCCTGTTTTCTGGTTCTTGGTTGCTGATTTTGTTATCTTGTCTGATGGCTGCAGAAGGTTGTGGTGAAGCTGGACGTGAACGACGACAGGCAGAAGGCCAAGGCGCTCAAGGCCGTCTCCGGTCTCCACGGTACTCCACTCATCCCTGCTTCCCCCCTTCCGTTTCCTCTTGCTCTGCTTCGCCGGACTGTAATTATGTGCAGAATGGAAGGCCAGAATCCTGATACATACTATCTGAATTTCAATTACCACAGGCATCGACCAGTTAGGCGTGGACATGAAGGAGCAGAAGATGACCGTCATGGGCACGGTCGACCCCGTCGCCGTCGTCGGCAAGCTGCGCAAGCTCTTCCCCGGCGCGCAGATCTTCTCCGTCGGGCCGGCCAAGGAGGAGAAGAAGGACGACAAGAAGGACGGCGGCGGCGACAAGAAGCCCGCCGGGGACAAGAAGGACGGCGACAAGAAGGAGGGCGGCGACAAGAAAGACGGGGACAAGAAGGACGGCGACAAGAAGCAGCAGGAGGCGAAGCCGGCCGTGCCGGTGTACCCGCCCTACTGGTACCCGATGCCGCCGCAGCCGCGCTACATCGTCCACAGCGTCGAGGAGGACCCCAACTCGTGCGTCATCTGCTGATCGCGCCCACGCGCCGCCGCCGCCCATCTTCCCCTGTACATTTCGTCGCTGTCCTGCCTGTCTTCCTCTGCCGCCGCCGCTGCCGGTGGTTGGTGGTTGCTGTACTCATCAGCCCACCTGCCGCAGCGATCGACGGCGTGCGTTACACTTGCGTATACGACCGCGTAATTACCAGTTGCGTTGCATCGATAGGTGCTGTTTGGCTTATTTTCGGGAAGATGTCGACCGCCGGGATGCTAGTTGTAGTAGTACTACCACATCTACATGCATCTGCTGATCAGTTTGTAGAGTGAGAAGAGCTACTCCCTCCGTTCCAAAATAGTTGACTCAACTTTGTACTAACTTTAGTACAAAGTTGGGTCATCTATTTTGGAACGGAGGGAGTATATATAAAGAGAAATAACTTTTGATAGTATCTGAATTTCAGAAAATGCTGCCCAACTGGTCTGAAAAGTACTTATGTTTGTTCTCCTGATGGAAAACTATAGTGTAAATCAGCACTAAAACCATCGCGATTCACGTCATAGGAGTATAATTAAATTCAGCACAGCTGAATCATGTGAAATCGCACTATGATTGGCATGGTTGTGTGATGAATGTGGGTGGCTGAGATTCTCCCTGTTATTACGGCTCCTTGATATCGATATTAATTGTGCAGGCCTAATATTGTGCCTTCTTGTAACTTCGAAAATATAAATCCCTTTTTTGTTTTTCTATTTTTGAGCGGCACTGTCTCCAAAATGCTGTAGTTGTATGCCACTGAATTGCATATTGGAGAGTTGCTTGTTTTAAAATTATGCATATTGGACAGTTGTATTTTTCGGTTATTACTGTATATTTTTCTATTGCAAACCTAAAATTGCAGGCAAAATAAATGCATAACTTCCAGATAAAAAGTCACATTAGGTTATTGCACTTTGTTAGCCGAAATTGTGAATTCACACAAAAAAAATTCATGTATGGTTGTTCTTTTTACAAATGAAGAGATGCTTAATATTGTTTCGTTTTGTTTTCAAATAGTTGAGCCTATTTTTTCAAATTGAGGAGTTCTTCGCTCTTGATTTCATCTCATAACGAAACCGCTAAACAACCACGTTGAGACACATGTTTAAAAAGGAAAATGAAACATTTAGGAACACAATAATTCATCTATAGATCTTAAAGCAGAAATGCATGAAGCTCATGAGGTAAGGCCTCATTGATTCTGTCTGGTCGGACCTCAGGCGTTCGACAGGCCCTCTTTGACATCTTCATCTCTGGGGCTACAATTGTTGGGGAACGTAGTAATTTCAAAAAATTTCCTACGCACACGCAAGATCATGGTGATGGCATAGCAACGAGAGGGGAGAGTGTTGTCCACGTACCCTCGTAGACCGTAAGCGGAAGCGTTATGACAACGCGGTTGATGTAGTCGTACGTCTTCACGATCCGACCGATCTAAGTACCGAACGTACGGCACCTCCGAGTTCAGCACACGTTCAGCTCGATGACGATCCCCGGACTCCGATCCAGCAAAGTGTCAGGGATGAGTTCCGTCAGCATGACGACGTGGTGACGATGATGATGCTCTACCGGCGCAGGGCTTCTCCTAAACTCCGCGACGATATGACCGAGGTCGAATATGGTGGAGGGAGGCGCCGCACACGGCTAAGGAACGATCCGTAGATCAACTTGTGTGTCAAGGAGTGCCCCCCCTGCCCCCGTATATAAAGGAGCAAGGGGGGAGGAGGCCGGCCCTAGGAGGGGGCGCACCAAGTGTGGAGTCCTACTAGGACTCCCTAGTCCTAGTAGGATTCCACCTCCCTTGTTGGAGTAGGAGAAGGGGAAAGAGGGGGAGAGGAAGAAGGAAAGGGGGGCTGCGCCCCTTGTCCAATTCGGACCAGAGGGGGGGCGTAGGCCTCCTTCCTTTTGGCCTCTCTCCTCTATTCCCGTATGGCCCAATAAGGCCCATATACTCCCCGGCGAATTCCCGTAACTCTTCGGTACTATGAAAAATACCCGAATCACTCGAAACCTTTCCGAACTCCGAATATAGTCATCCAATATATCGATCTTTACGTCTTGACCATTTTGAGACTCCTCGTCATGTCCCCGATCTCATCCGGGACTCCGAACTCCTTCGGTACATCAAAACTCATAAACTCATAATATAACTGTCATCGAAACCTTAAGCGTGCGGACCTACGGGTTCGAGAACTATGTAGACATGACCTAGAACTATTCTTGGTCAATAACCAATAGCGGAACCTGGATGCCCATATTGGCTCCTACATATTCTACGAAGATCTTTATCGGTCAAACCGCATAACAACATATATACTTTGTTCCCTTTGTCATCGGTATGTTACTTGCCCGAGATTCGATCGTCGGTATCCAATACCTAGTTCAATCTCGTTACCGGCAAGTCTGTTTACTCGTTACGTAATGCATCATTTCGTAACTAACTCATTAGTTACATTGCTTGCAAGGCTTATAGTGATGTGCATTACCGAGAGGGCCCAGAGACACCTCTCCGACAATCGGAGTGACAAAACCTAATCTCGAAATACGCGAACCCAACATGTACCTTTGGAGACACCTGTAGTACTCCTTTATAATCACCCAGTTACGTTGTGACGTTTGGTAGCACCCAAAGTGTTCCTCCGGTAAACGGGAGTTGCATAATCTCATAGTTATAGGAACATGTATAAGTCATGAAGAAAGCAATAGCAACATACTAAACGATCAAGTGCTAGGCTAACGGAATGGGTCATGTCAATCACATCATTCTCCTAATGATATGATCCCATTAATCAAATGACAACACATGTCTATGGTTAGGAAACATAACCATCTTTGATTAATGAGCTAGTCAAGTAGAGGCATACTAGTGACTATATGTTTGTCTATGTATTCACACATGTATCATGTTTCCGGTTAATACAATTCTAGCATGAATAATAAACATTTATCATGAAATAAAGAAATAAATAATAACTTTATTATTGCCTCTAGGGCATATTTCCTTCAACAATTTGGTACGCAGGTCAACTGCTCGTGTTTTCTGTTATACATCGACGATTTTCAAGGTGTTGGTTCTTTAAGTTTCTAGGTTTCTACAAGTTTGCTCCACTTCCTATAAACACAAGTGTGTTCCGTTGAGGCGGACGCCCAGAGATAGCAATGAGTTTTACTTACAACACACTGTTGTTGGATATAGGAGGAAGAAAACTTTTGCACTCCCAAAAACTTAGATGTATTTTTAAGGGTTTATGCGACTTAACATATGTCCCTTGGCCTTTTTGCACACAAGGAGTAACTCTTCTAAACCTAATGCTTCCCCACCCTCTCAAAAAATGTAGCCGCTCTAATATTTACTCTAAATTTTGGATTACACGACAAACGAGCAAGCTTAACACAAATGGGTTTATTTCCTATCCGAAAATCATTCCTTAACCTAGTTCTCTCTCCATTTACCACCGTTTCCTACAACACTAGAAGAAAAAGAATTCACCTTCTTCGGGCCTTGCCAAAAATGAGACTGCTCATGTTTCAATTTACAATTGGATAAGGTAGATTTTTAATACTTATTTCCAACTAATTCCCGCTAGATTACATCTTCATCTCTATTTACCCAAGCTACTTATTCACAACAAACATACATTCATTGCCCCATATCAACCACTCTCAGCGCCCCTTGTTTCTTATCGTACCGGAGGAGGGATATAGATGCTATGTGCCTTCCCCCCTCTCGATCTTTGCCTTGGTCGTTGACCGGCTATGCCACGCTGGCTGGAAAGAGACTAAGCGGAGTCGCCTTGGCCACCGACCTCGCCTTAGGTGTTTGAATTGGTCACCCTTTGGATATGAACAAATCTGAGTGAATTTGCACGATGTCGCTGCTCAACTCCGTGCGTACGCCATCGACTAGCGTTATGATGATGTTGCCAAGTGTCTCAGTCGTATCATTGAGCATCTTGTGGACAACCAACAACAAGTTTTCTCATTGATCCCTGAAGCAATTATCCATGGAATTGGAGTCTGGCTTAAGAAGCTCGTAGATCTCTCGCACTTCCGACGAGTGCTATTCCATGGCTTGCTCCCATCGTCGATCCTTGTACCTGGTCTCTTGGTGGTGCTTGGGGATCTCCAGGACTCGTGAACCGAGGACCGATAACTCAGAATACCAATTGTAAGTATCTAGCTCTCTGTTGTCTCAATCATGGAAGAAATCATAGTTTTCGACGGATTGTTCCACCCACACAAAGAGTTCAAATAAATACAACGATTACAGATCGCTGAAGCCACTTTCCTCCTCTACAAGTGAGATGAGATGAGCTACCTTCCTTTGGTAAGAACAAGAGAGAGACATTGTAGTTAATGGGCCCAACCTGGGCTACCTGACCATCCCAACAACCTTGTCTTGCGTTTGGGAAGTGTTGCTGGCCCAACGGTTGTTTCCTTCTCTTCCCACCTTGTCCTTGCCAATGGCCTTGTAGTCTTGACTGGGACTGGACCGCATTGCTGACAAAAGGTGACTGCAGGGGGGTCGGATTGGGGAATTGGGTGGGGGGGGGAGGGGCGTCTTTCCTAATTTTAGTTTTGGCTCTTGGTTTTGTTGGTCAGGGTTCTGATGGTATTTGTTGTCTGATGGTCGGGTGCAGAAGGTTGTGCTGAAGCTGGACATGGACAATGACAAGTTGAAGCGGAAGGGGCTCAAGGCCAACTCAGGTCTCCATAGTAATGCTCTTTCTCCCATCTATACTTAATTATGTGTTTGCTCTGCTTTCTCATGATCATAGAGAGGAATTGTGCCCTGGTGCATAGAAATTTCACCCCAAATGACTGATTCAGTCTGAACTTGTTCTGAGGACCTCTCCTCTCTGGCTCAGGAATCACCTGATGACCGTGCATATGAAGGACCAGAAGATGATAGTGATTGGCAGCATGGACCTTGTCAACGTCGTCGCCAAGCTGCGCAAGTTCTTCCCCGGGAGAGTGAATTGCAGAAAACCACCACA